CTGTCTTTTGAATCTTGGTTTTCCTTGCATTATATTATAAAATAGACATTGGAGGGGGAGAGAAAGGAATAGCCAGAAACATCACCATAGAAAGCTTATAAGTTCGCCTTCTGCCTATAACTGATTGGAATACCTAAAATGGGGCTACAATGTGCCCAGTGAAGGAGGCTTCCTGGGGAGCCTCTGCAATACTTAAGACTGTAGGTGGAAGCCTGGACCACATCCAGATTTTCAGAGATGGGAAATTTCCACTTGAAAGGACAAGCAGACCAGCCTGGAGTGGCTAGAAGAACAAAAAATACTTCTTGAAAGAAGACCTACAGGAAAAATATACAACAACATAGACAGAACGACTGTTACTTCAAGAACAAGCAAGTGGTTGGGTCCCCACAGTGCAAACCCTCTTCCAAGACTAAGACTCAATGGGAATACATGCTCTGATTGGTGACCACGCTCATCACTGATAAAGGGAAGTGAGGGAAAAACAGCAATGAAGCGGCGAGCTAAGCCCTACAATGTTCAATAGACTTCTGTGAATCTGGGTGAAGACCTGGTTGGCCAGCAGATTGGGAAGACCTGGGGACTTTTGGACCCAGAGTCAGTGACATAGCCACAGAGGACTAGAGTGGAGAATGACATGTCCAGGTGATAAGAAGAGAGGGCACAAGCACAAGAACACCCACACTTAGAGATAATACCCTCTTGACCTGGCTTCAATGACTGGATGATCAGAGCTCAACCAAAAGAAGAAAGAAGAGGTAAAAATAGTAATCTGATACAATTTGATGAACTTGACCTACACGTATGGATGCAGTAGCTCAAAAGAGGGAACAAACCCTTACAGCAAGTTATCATTCACACCCCCTCCATACACAGAATAGACAGGGATGGGCAACCTGGACACTGGCTACCCAAAATGGGGAGCTACAAAGGCAAGAAGTGACTGACTTACAAGCTTTCAAGAGGGAACCCAGATTCAGAGGGCATGGAAGAAGGGAGAATCTCCACTGAGTATACAATCTGTCTAGGTGAGGCTTATAAAATGAATTGCGGATGGGTCTCTGGTGATACATCAGTGAATAACTGTTATCAGGACTGCTTGTGAGGGTTGGAATTGTAAAGGTAGACGTTTTGTAGCAAGGAGGGGCGTGATTAACTTTTCAGCTTAGAAGCAGAGGTCCCTGGGACCATAAAGGGAGAAGAGCGGAGAGTGGGGACCTTACCCGAGAAGCAGTGATGCCTGAGATGAAGGCAGCGATGATGACGTGGAGAGATGGAGCTGTTGGTGACTTAGACACAGAGAGGGAGAGGGACTGTGTGCTGATGACCAGGGGGCAGGCTTGTAGTGTATACCCTTTGGTTGGTTGATGATGCATGGAGGGGACTGTAACCATAGCAATGACACAATATATAATAGGATGAATGTAAAAGTAACGTTCTCTCATGTAAACTATATCACATAATTCACAATAAAACATTAATAAAAAAAAGTATGAGGGGAATGAAAGAGTCCCCATGGAATAGCTGTCATCTTGTCTAGATGGGTCTGATGAAAAGAGATGGGGGATAAGATTCTTAAGATTCAATAGAAAATAATTATCATGACTAACTGTGACTGTCACAGTTGTAAAGGGAGTGGTTAATGTTACAGTCCAGAAACAAAGGACCATCAAGAGAGAAACACACAAGGAGAATGCGGGACCTCCTACAGAGAAGCAGCAGAGCCAGAGATGGAGGGAGAGATAGGGGCATGAAGAGGGGGAGCCGCTGAGGACTCTAGATTCATGGACTAAGAGCTGGTGGCCAGGAGCAGACTTGCAGAATGTGCTCTTTGGAAATGTAAATTATTATATATGCCTGAGTGGTTTTTTTTAAAAAATCTAAAGAGGATAGAGAGAAATACTGTTAACTGATGGTACATGGAGGGGATTATAATCAATGTAATGAAACAAGGTATATGATTTGTTGAATGTAAAACTGATGATAGGCCCTGTAAACTTTCACCCAATCCACAATAAAAACCTTAAATTAAAAAATAAACATTTTCTAAAATTCTAATCCCATGAGGAACAGGATTTTTGTGTTACCACTGTAGGGTTTGTCCTGAACTAATCCCTTCTGAGATGTAAAAGTGCAAATAAGGCAGAGAAGAAAGCTGATGTACATAGTTGGTAGACCCAGGTTATTTAAAAAATGGATTATAAACACACTGAAGAGGGAAGGGTTGCTTGCGGTGGGCTGATGGAGCAGGAGAGCAGGCCAGTGGACTTCAGCGAGAGAGTTTGGGACAACAGGGGCTGAGGGGAAAGGGAGAGCAGGCTTGGAGGCCTCGGCACAGGGTTTGATTTATTTTAAGAACAAGAAGAAGGCATGATGGCGGGAGGAGCTTGTTTCCTGGCTCTCAAAGTCTCTCTCCCAATCACCATGGTGTCCTGCCTTGGGGACTCACTAATGCTGTAAATATGAGAACTGATGGGTCTTAGGAAGGTCTGTGAACTTGGGAGCCCTTGTTCACTCAATCTGTCACCTAATCTTGATGGCCAAAGACACTGTGGCTTGTCTGGAGGCACGCAGACCCAACAGGGCACAAAGGCTCTGAATGCACGCTGTCCCTGATATGCTGCTGTTACAGATGAAGCCACACGTGTGTGATTTCATTGAAACAGAGCCCATAGTGAGCCAACACCATTGCCCCAGTAATAGAGAATGAGACATAAATGACGCCATTTAATACGTCTGCCCCAAATGTCTGAGCCCAACTCACTCCAACTGGAGTTCCCACAAGGACACGAGATGTGGGGAATGGGGAAACCATTTTTAACAGGAGGTAACAACTCCGTCTCACTTACCACAGGCTCCCAGCCCAGCATCAGCTTTGCTTTCTTAATGTCTGGTTTTCTCTTCTGTGGGTCATCCTGGGCTTCGGAAAGAAACTGAATTTCACTTCCACTACCTGATTTGTTTTGGGAAAAACAACAACAAAACAATATGAGACATCACAAACCATGTCAACGTTTTTTATCTGTCAGCAAAATTAAAGTGTCCCCTGTGCAGTGAACCAAAGGTGCAGGTGGCATCCCTCATGAAGCCATCGTGCTCCTTAGAAGTAAGAGAAGAATGTAGTAACCACAGCAGCCTAGTCTCACTGCAGAGCAGGGTGCCCCAGGTTGATGTCTAGCTCTGCCTCAAGAGACCCGAAGGCCTGAGTTGTTGGTCTTATAACATAAGAGGACTTGCTCTATTACCAGTGCCTCAAAACCAGCTAACAAAGTACATAAAAATGGCTAACTGCAGGGTGTGGCTTTTGATAGCCCTCAATAATCACACCTCCTGCTGCTGCCGCTCTTGTCAAGTCCCCTCCCCTGGAATCTGGGCTGAGCTTTAACCTGTTTAGGCAACAGAATGCAGTTGCAGGCCTTGGCCACTTATGCTTCTGTGAGCCCTAGTTACCTTGCAGGAGAGACCACCTGAACAAAGAGAGAGGTCTGCTTGCCCCTTATGCTAGCTGAGCTCAGACCCTGGGTGGCCTGTCAGTTGATTGAACCCACAACAATGACCAATGACAAGACCAGCTGAGGTGGCTGACCCTGATTACAGAATCTGGAGCAAATAACTTGGTTTTATTTAAAGTCATTGTAGTCTAAGGGGATGTGTTGTGCAGCAATAAAAAGAAACACGGTTGTTATCCTGTGTTCCACTAATGTTTTGGATTCTAAAATATTAGCGTGCACATGGCTAATACAGGTGGCCTGAGGAGCTAGAGAAAATGTAGACTCTGAGTATGTTGGTCTGATTACATAGGTCTTTCTAACCTGCTCTCAGGTGATACTGCTGCTGTGAGCCTCACCCTGGAGACCCAGGTTGAGGCACTCTCTCTTGTTATCTGAAATTCTATACCAGGCATTCATGTGCTGAGCAAACTCGTCAGTGTTTAGAAAGCAAATGATTTTCACCCATGCAGAATGATCTCACACAGTTACTTCCCAAACACGAGGAACAAATCTACTCCCGCCACTTGGAACAGACCTGCAATTATGGTCATGAACAAAACCAACCCCTCCATATCCTTCTCCATCCCCCAATCACTCTCTTTTCATTACTTACTTAAAGAATTGGAAAACAATTAAGTGTCTCTGATAAAACACTCTGCTTTTATCTAATTCAATTAGCTTATATTAATTACACATTTTTTAGTCAAGGTGTTATCAGCTGATAGAGTAAATGCACAGTGGATTTCACTCATGAAACAATTTATCCTACTTACCAACAAGGTTTTTAATTAACTGAGCAAATTCTAGGATCGTGTGCTCTTCTGGGTTCCCCTAAGGAAGAAAGATTTCTGGTTATATGTGTAATTAAAACAACAACAACTACATTCACATCTCCAAAGATGTTTGTGGGTCAACTCTGGCATCTTCCAAATTCACCAGACTCTCCTCTCCTGTCTCCCAATATGCTTTACTTGATTTTCAAGTTTCATTGAGCTGTAACTCTGGGATGATGGTCATTCAACCTGGCTAAGTGCTGAAACGTACCTACCTTTATCTCTGTCCTTTCAACAAATATTGTCATTTTACAAGAACATCCTTTTAGTAAGTTAGTATCTAATGAGAAAATACCCCTTCACTGGTTTAATTAGCAACACAATTTCCATGTGGAATGTAACTATAACTTCACAGGCACTTTGACTAACAGTTTGGGTATGTGAAATTTGCTCTCCTAAGAAATGCATCTCCTTTTCAGTGTCGCATGTTTACAATTTAAGTTCATGCAAACTTGCAAGACTTGCCCTTGAAAGCTGTAACAGAAATAAAATGCACTAAGAATGAGTGTTCTGGGTAAGCCAGAGAGATATCCTTGATGCATTTTATAAAGCTAGCTTCCTGCACTGGGCCACCACCAACAAACGATGTTGTACTGCGTTGGCTTGCAGGTGTTACTGTGATGCTGGAAGCAGTTCCAGCAGTATTTTAAATACCAACAGGGACATTCATAGTGGACGGATTTCAGTGGAGCCTCCAGACTAAGAAACTAAGAAGAAACTGCTGGCAACCTACTTGTGAAAATCAGTCACTGAGAAACCTGTGGCTCACAGATATGCCTCAAACTCTGACTCGCTTACTTTGGACACGGCATCAGGAAGACCAGTGCTGGAAAACAGCATCCAGTTTGGTAAAAGGGACAGCTCAAACATACCAAGGACCGTGAAGACAGTGCAGGACATGCCAGTGTTTCCATTTGCAATTTGTAAGGTCTCCACAAATTAGAGCCGACTTTATGACAACTTTTGTGGGTGTTGGGGGGAACTTTAATAAAAAACATTCTTTTTCTTTCTTCCATTACATATTATAGTAGCCATCGTCCCTCTTCCCTTCCTGATCCTCTTTCTGTTAAATGAACCCCTACCCATCAAAAGGAGGCCTAGTGTGCAGCTGTAGGATAAACACTGGACTGTTAACTGCAAGCTCGGTGGTTCAAAAGGCAGCCCCCGCTCTTTGGAAACCCTATACAGGGTTGCTATGAATTGTTAACTGACTTGACAGCACTTAACAACAACAAGTTTTGTTTCATTTCAAAATGTACGTTATAAAACAAGTTTTGTCCAAAAATCCATCCAAGCAGCATTGGGGGTTGATGAACGTAGCCAACCGTGTGCCTGTGAACCTGTCCACATCCATTAAGGAATGTCCCCTGCAGAATCCTCATCTTCCTACTAGGGAAGAACTGCCCACTCACTCAAGTGACACATGAATGGTATCGCATGTGCCTGACACCATTGATTACATTAACAAGTACCAGTAAAGGGTTTTGAAGTGATTTGCAAAGGACGCAGGCAGCCACAGCCACATCTGTGAACATTTAGACATCAGAAATAGTGGAGATAATTGAGGAGAAGCTCCTGAAATAAGCTTCAAGGTCCGGTCATCAATTAGTTTACAGTAAGGCAGTGCTGGTGACTCCCTATAGAGCAAATGGCTTCTTGTGTTGGTTGCCACTGACGAAAGTGGAATATTCAGTATAGCAAACAGTATACACTGGGGACCTCATATTTTAAGAGATAAAATACTCAAAAGGCAGTGGCCAAGAGAGCAAAGGAACCCCAACATGACATAGTCCTGGCTGAAATAGCTAAGAGAGAAAATTTGGGGTATTTCACTATACTCTTCAAAGCCTTGGAAAGTTATACATCACAGAAGTGTCAGATCAGCTTCCTCCCAAGTGGAGAAATGAAGTCAATGAGAAGGGTGTACTGAAACTAAGACTTTTTTCAGTTCAACATAAGGGAACTTTCTGTCAGAATTGACCAAATATGGAAGCAAGTGCTTTGAGGAGATGCAAGTTGCGGTGCTGCAGGATGAGCACTGGACTGCTAACCACAAAGCCGGTGGTTCACACTCAAAAGCTGCTCCTCGGAAATCCTATACCGAGTCACTATGAGCCGGAACTGACTCGACAGCACATAGCAACAACAAATGGTCAAAGCTGGTCAAAAAAACCTTAAAGATCACTTTCACCATGGAGGCGATATGACTGCAGAGAGCAATGATGAAAAGAAGGTACTTTGTACACATAAATTACAGATGCAACCAGCAACTGGAACACCTTCTTTCCTAATCATGTCCTTCTTCTAAAGCTCACGTACTGAAGTGCTAGAAAGCTTACGTGCGCATTAAATAACGTACTGCAAAAGGAGCGCACACAAAAAATGACAATCTGCTACCACAAAAAGGCTTTGTGAAATTTTAGACATGGGTCCTTCAGGAGGAAGACGTTAGCTCAGTGGCTATGATGTTTCTCATTAATGTCTTGCTGATATTTTAAAAAAATAGATGGTTTATTGTGTCTTCTCTTTCGTATTTAGCAACAAGTATCCATGTGTCAATTGTGCTGATGGGCAGTAAAGAAATGCCTGCTGCTCACCCGAGTTTCACATAAGGATCAGATGTTCTTGCTCCCCCGTTGTGGAGGGACAGAGACGAGGTACAGTACTTACCAGGTTGACAGGACTGCTGACATTGCTGTTCATCAGAGCCACAAGCCCATTGACGAGATCACTGGAAAAGAAGGAGAAGCCAGTCAAGTGCTATCTGCTGAACACACCTTCACGCTGAGCACCAAAGACAAGCCAGGAGCAAGGTATCCACTCTCCCAGGGTAAAACAAAAAGAAAACCCCCAGTTCAACACAGAATGTCAACAAGCCCACATTTAATGTGATGCCAGATACCTCGACCACATAAAGGCAGGTGATTTAATAATAAGTATACTGAGATGAAAGAACTTACTGTGTAATCCCCATACTAGCATACCATTAAATAAAGCCAAAAAATACTGACAGCTAAAATAAACAGGACCACTGCTCCCTGCTCCCTTAACCTTTAATCCACACCCCATAAATATCTGCATGTTTCAAATGGATCATGATTGACAGGCCATGAAGGTGAAGATGCGTAAGCAAATGTTCGCTTACCAAGGTTTGGTTCTTATTTTCAGAAGCTTTAAAGTGTGGCTCTGTTAAAAAAAGTTACTTTGTAAAAATGACACCTCACTGCTAGGACACATACACGTTCTCTAAGTCTAGTTTAATCAGCGATGTTCCTTAAGAGACTTTTAAACTTCTGCTCTGGTGGTCCAAATGAGATATATTTAAAAATGTCTTTCTCCTTTTCCAATCACCATTAGCAGAGAGAACAGGTTATCATGGGTTATAATCAACGTTCAAAGGACAACCTGAGACGACTTCTGCTTTCCTTCTAATTAAGAAACAAGAACTTTGGGAGGACTGAGCAAACCGGCTAACTTTTCTTGACTTGTCACTGATGGCATTTCTCATGAGCATGATCACAGCGCGCTCTCTCTTGGACCAACCACAAAAGCAAACAGCAGCTGGTCTCAGATGACTTCTCTTTTCTAGAAACTGGCAAAAAGTCACTTCATCATTATGGCAGTGGTCACCACTCACGATACATCCTTTTACAACATGTGTCTGCATATGATTCATTTCAAAAGACATTAAAAGCTGCCATTCAGTAGCATTCATATTTCTGAGTCTTGAATCTAGGGAGAAATCAACACTTAAATGGGAAGACTGCTGATTTTTATGTAGTCCTTTTCATTGGGGGCAGGCCAAGCATCTTTTATATAATAAACTGGCAACTTTTAAGGTCAGAATTGTATAGATCATATTCATTAAACCTGAAGCTCTTGAAAAGTGTCATTTTGACAAAGTGACTTTTTAACATAAAAGAAGCAACAAAAAAACTAGCATGCCTTTCTCTAAAGCAAATGAAGACATAACCTGACCATACATATATCAAACAGAGTCATGCCAAAAATCAGTGCGTATGACCACCGAGCCCTCCGAAACCTGGAAATACCCTATATCAAGGCAAGCATGGACTTTAGAAACTCCTCATTTTATAGTTGTTATTAAGTGCCACCAAGTCATTTCTGACTCACAGCACCCCTGTTTAGGGTTTCCAAGGAACGGCTGGTGAGCTTGAACAGCCAACCTTGTGGTTCAAACGAATCTTGCAGTCCAGTGCATCAATTACAGCAATACACCAGTTGGTAACTAAAAATTCAGATGAAGTTGTACATTTGTACTGTGAAGTAAAAGAATCTCAGTTTCTGAAAAATAGGGTTATTAAAAACAGCAAAATGTTGGTAAGTTAATTATCTCAGCTAACTCTTGACTCACTAAAACCATAGGATGGAAATTTTTGTGGCTTAATATTTGTTGTTGTTTTGTGCCATTAAGTTGGTTCTGACTCAGAGATCCTATATAGTTTCTGAGGTGAGCCTGTGGTTAGCAGTCCTGTGCTTACCTGACAGTGCTATATCAGGACTTGACTCTACTAATGTGGAACTTAGAGAATAAATTCCATGAAGGGGACTAAATGACTGCAATATTTAAGGAAAAGAAAAAAGAAAAGGATTTTCTCAGAGAATAATCCCCAACATTCTGAGGTAACTGTAGTGTAATACTTCACCTGTCTCCTTCTGGTTAGCTTTTGTGTGTGTGTGATACCGGTTGTGTCTGTAAACTACACCCGCTGCATCATGGGCACGATGGGTCCTGGGCTGGGAGAGTATTTGGCAAATGTATCAGTGAAGTGTTAAACTGGTTTCATCCCTAGCATGAAAAAGCATCTGAAGCTTTTTTTTTTCTTTTAAGTTTTTGTATCTGATGCTTTTGAAATAAGAATATAAGAATTGGTTCAAACTAGTTTCCCTCTTATTGCACAAATTCTCATTAGTATGTCGATGGGGCATTGATAAAGCAGCTCAAAGCAACTCGATGTAACTGAAGATTGCAAGATGTCCTCAAAAAACAAAAACTACATGAATTGCGGGTGAGTGAAGTAGGGTGGATGAAAGGATTTTATTATGAAAAGATGGTACTCAATACACAAAAATCCAATTAAAAGCATCCCAGTCCAGCAATGCATCCCAATAGTCATAGCTTTCTCAAAGTACACGGTGCCCGTGATAAGTGCTTTTGTAAGGACCTAACTGATTTTACCTACCTAGAGACTACTTGACTAAACTCTAGTCAGGCTCAGAAAAGCATTTTAAATAGACAAGGCCTCAGTTTTTAGTTCCCTCCAGAGACAAGGTCAATCTCCATTCTGTACATTAGCCTGAACACATCCTCCTGTTCCAGAAACATGCTAAATCAGCTCATGCTGCCTTAGAATATCCTTTCACCCCTATCAACAGCGGGAACTAGATAAAGAATAGACAGGACCCAAGGCCAAATGCCAGATGTTTTCCTTTACTCTAGCCTAAGAACAAAGACCACCAATCCTGACCAATTAAACTGTAACATCTCATAGTTTGCCAATTGTTAACCAATCCAAAGATTGTAAAGCTGAGAAACCTGAGCTGTTTGAAAACTCTATAAAAACCCTGCAAACAATAAGTTCGAGGCTCTTTCCCTATTCCGCTGCGACAGATAAGGTTAGAGACCTGGCTCGAGCTTGAATAAACTACCCTTATGTATTTACATCGGTACACGGCTCCTGGGTGGTCTTTGGGGACCCCGAATTCTGGGCATAACACTTTGAAGAAAAAGTGAGGTATGGCAGAAATTCAACAATGCTAGAGGACCATTGGCCATGCCCTGGCTAAATTATTCTTAAAATACTACTCACCTATTTGGGCAACAAAGTTGGCTAATTATATTATACAGCTGGGCTTTCTGCCTTGCTTCATGATCCTGATGGGCTAGATTCTGGCCACTACTGCATGTTTACTCACACCTTTCTTTTGGACTAAAAGTGAAGCTCAAGAATATTTTCAGGAAAAATCAATAGTTGTTTTTGTCTATTCGTAACTAGCAGTTCCATTTCTCAAAGGGACTTCTACCCAGAACACTCACAAGGTGGATGTTCTCAGTAAAGGGGGTAAAAGGAAGAGGGTCTTTCCAGACCTGTACCCCCTACCCAGCACTTCACTCCTATGGTATTCCCAGGATGTCCCTGAGACACTAAGAACAGTATTTCCCAATTGATAGGAAATCCAGAGCACTGGCACTCAACAGTGAAAACGTATGACGCCAAAATACAGAACTGGATTTCACAATGATTCAGGGAACCAAAAACATTCACAGGATTTACAATAACCAAGGAATAGTAGAAAATATTTTGGAATGTGCAACTATTTAGATATTACACCTCTCCAAATCTAAACTGCATTTTAAAATTAGTTACTAACTGAAGAGACCAATAAGATACTGGTTGTTAAGGATTTCCTAAAAATCATCAAACTTTAAAAAAACGTCTTCAGATGTATTATTATCTGTATTTAGCTTCATCACAATGTTTGACAACAATCTCACCCACGGCAGACAACCAGTTTTAAAATGGGTTTGTTGGGTAATTAAGGTAATCTCTTTAATCAGCTTATAACTAAAATCACCATACTTAACCTCAGAGCTGAGTATGTTTCCCACACTAGGTGGCAGTAAATAGTTAAGCTCTGAGTTTTTGGAAGCTGGCCCATGGACTGCTGAAATAAACCAAGCTTTAGTATACGGACTGTTGTTAGGTGCCACTGAGTTGGTACTGTGACTCATAGTGACCCTATGCACAACAGAACAAAAACACTGCCCGAGCCTAAGCCAACCTCACAATCACTGCTAAGCCTGAGTCCACTGCTGCTGCCACTGCAAATCCATCTAGTTGGGGTCTTCCTCTTTTTTAGAATATGGATATAAATGAAAGAGTTCGTTGTGAATCTTATGATTAAAACTCACTTTTAACTAGTCATAATAATTAACTGATCGAAATTGATAATGGACTGCTAAGGCTATGTACTTCTATCTCCAATTAATTGTTCAAGCTAAGCTAGCATTGCAAGCAGGGTGTGCTTCATGCCACTTAGAGCAAACATGTCTTACCTCACATACTGGAACGCCCTCGTCTGAGATCCAGAACCATACACCTACAAGGAAACTGAAAGTCAGTTCTCCAGATAAAAACAAACATATCATATCCAGGAAACAGGGGTTCTTAAAATTCCAGACTGATCTTAAAATTCATACCCAAAGGGATGCTGATTTGAAGGGTCTTGAGCTACAGCTCAGACTTTGTACTTCAAAATTATGTCCCAACACTCCTGCATTGCTGGTGGGACTGCAAAATGGTCCAACCTCTCTGGAAAGCAATATGGCGTTTCCTCAGAAGGTTGAAAATAGAAATACTTATGATCCAGCAATTCCTCTACTTGGTATTTACCCACAAGAAAAAAGAGCCACAATCTAAGAAGATATAT